TCGTAGGAACCAAGTTTGGATTAGCACTGTTAAACACCGTCGAAGGGATTCATATTAGTCTAAATCCTGTGACTATCAAGTTCGGCTTCTGGTGGATCCACGTAATGCTGTAGCAGAATCTTGTTATTGGGTCCAACAAATGGTTGGGGGATTTAAATTAGTAGCCATCTTCGTGAGTTCAAGGTTAAGGTTACTGTAAAAACTCAACAGTACGTATAAGTTATATACTAAGCAAGACAGTTTGGACAAATATTTTGCGCTAATTCAAAATAAAAGCGATGTTCTTCGGTTTGAAAAATGTGACGTCATTGTTAAAACACGGATGTGGTTTATTGTCGTAAAATTAAATAAAATAGATTAACCAAAATGATTCTTGAGATATTCAGCTGGTCAGACTATTCTAACATAAGAATATTGCTCCTATACGAATAATGAACAAATAATTAAATACTATAGACTAGTAATAATGATGACTAAATAAAAAGTTAAACAGTACTAAACAATATGATAGAAAACATATTTACTTCACCACAACTGGATCACAGACATCCAGTATTTTAGATTCTACGTCAACTAAAAGAACTCGAGTTTTATAAGGCTGCCATAGAAGCCACAATTACATTTATAACACATGCCGCCGTAATCTCTGCTATTATTTACAGAGCGCGTTGTTTGTATGAACAACAACCATCCAGCTAAACTATGGCCAATTCATACTTAGGTCTTGTGATGTACATTGGTCTTATTAAAATTAATTATGGGATTGGAGATATTTGTTTTGTGCTATCGCACAAAATAGCACATTCGACGTGGCCTACCGTTTATGTAACACTTTCACATGGAGAAAGGCTGAATAACATAGGCCTATGTCAGCTGTTATTTTGGGAATTAAGCTAATTTTAATACATAGTTTCCAAATGTAGCTCACTTGGATACTGTACAATTTGGCCTGATGCGCACAGTGACACAGTCATTGTTACAGTAACATCTCAGGTGTAGCCCTACATATTCAGTGTACTTACAAATGTTGAATGTGGAAATTATTATGAGTTTAATTTTTAATTAAATTAAATTACTTATTTGCAGAATCTGTAACCTTCACGCGTTATACTCATAAAGCCACTTTTCTTTAAACTTAAGATATTTTATACTGTAAAACCCAACGTGAAACCAAATGATTTTGTACGATCTATGAAAGTCAGTAATACGTTTTAAAATCCATTTACATATGTTGGGTGGATAGAACCATGTGTTTTAGGAGTCAAAGGAGTATTTGAGAAAATAGTGAAACGCTTTTTAAAGGAAAGACATTTGAAACATCCTGTCGAAGCGTCGTATTGGAGATTTCAAAAACGCTATTGATGTCTTAACTTACATATATTGGGCTCTGCATACGAGCATGTTATTCCAAATGAAAAAAAAAAAAACTTTTGCAAAAAAGTGTTATTTAAATAAAATATTATATACTTAAGAACTGTGCTATCAAAGTAGCCAAACAAACTGACAGCCTATATTTTTCTTAAGATGAAGGAAGGATATGTATGAAAAGAAATTATTTTAGAGGTCGACATACTTCTACGGCAAACACTTTAATTTAAATATAATCATTTATTTTTTCCCTATGTAGACGTTTTCAAACAGTTGCTTTGTCTGGATACGATTATCCTCGTTGCATGAAGATTGTACTCGGATTTATCTGCACACAGTGACCTACGACAACATTTCGTTTCTTGAACGTAAGTCTGAAATATAATTAAGCTGTCGACTTTTCCAGGGATCACATCTGTAATATTTAGGAGCGCAGATTACTGCGTTACGCGGACGATCTTAAACGGCAATTCACATAAACATCGAAGGGTGGCGTGTGAGGCACGTAGCTTACAAATTAAGTTCCCGTTAACCATACGATACCTGTCCATATTGGGGGATCAAATGGATTCATCGGAAAACGCTCCCCGTGTATGTCAGTGATCTCTATTCAGCTTTTAAGTTAGTGCTTACAATATAATCCTGCTTGTTTGACTGTGATATACAGTGTATTCTATGTATATACTCTCTGACAGATAAAATTAACTATTTAGAGTCCACAAAATGCTTTACCATTTTAAACGTTCTTGAAAGAGCGAAAACTGCACGCTCGTTTGCGTTATATGTATAAATCGGTTATAATCAATGTTCAGACCATGCAAGAATAGTTTGGAAATGTTTGCTCCTTAAAAGAGAGTAAAACAGCATACGTAGCTTGTGTAGGCTATGTATATAACTTACTGTACAAAGAGCACTTTTCCCCGGGTACGTTTTTAATGTTTTCACATTAGGGTAGATATTTGACTTACATTTCAGCACTCGTGTGTTAGCCTAGCCCTAACGCAACTATTTGAAAAAAAATCAGAGTGGCTTGAGTCTATTTCTTCAGAGTTATGAAGGAAAAACAGTTTTAACAAAGATAATGGCAGCCCCGAGTCGACATTTAAGATGTGTTTTAACCAGCCTTTAAATAACACGTTATGCTGATCGTACTTCCGTATACGCTAAATAAATATTTTAATTTTAGAACTGTCTTCGCCTAGAAATGCAACTCTGATTACAACTCTCGGCGGGCATTACACGACAGGATAGTTCTATTCTACTGTGTTCCACTTATAAGTGACCTTTGGACATTGATTTTAATATTCAAATAATCACTCTAAAATACTTAGCCAAAGAGAAAAAATATAAACTTTAAGTGCCTTTAGTTTATTGCCTTTGTTTAAATTATTTAGGTTCTCTTTGGTGCCAGAATTTTGGAATGAGGATGTGGACATGATTTCCACAGGAACAAAGGGAATGTAAAAATGAAAGACGGGAGCCGGGCAGATGCGTCGAGATGTCGTGAAGGCGCTATCTATTCTCTCTCTCTCTCCCTCTCTCTCCCTCTCTCTCTCTCTCCCTCTCTCTCTCACTCTCTCGCCCTAGCTCTGTCTAACTCTTCAGTTAAACAGCGTTTCCTGCGGCAGCTTTTCCTGTCATTGTAAGTACAATATTGCATTTTGGTCAGGGATTCGGTGAATCGATAGTTTTCATTTGTTACCTGTGAGTTTTTTTCTTCTTCTTTTTTTTAAGAAAAAAAAATACATTATACAAATTTTATTCAGTTATAAACAACATTATTTTTCGTTTAAAAAAAGTTTTATTTCAAAATTTCAGGTAGTCAGCTGTGTTTACCCCTGTAAATTACTTAAACTGTTATTGTGTTCCATTTACATATTTCCCTACATTGCATTTTTGGGATTTGCCAAGACGTTGTATATTAAATAAAGAAGGTGTCATACTTCATCAGTTGCATGCATTGGAATCTGCTGCAACCTGTGACCGTCTGTGTGACCGACAGGCTGTCACTTTGTGTCTAAGGACGAAATGCATATAAATGGGTTTATCAGTTGAACTCTAGATAAAAATATGTTCTGTATTGTTCAGGATCCATGTACATTGAGAAATATAAATTGAGAAAGCATGGGGCATTTTACGACGTTGGATTGATTGAAGGGGTCAAATGTCACGTTTTGGATTCTTCCATGTTTTCAGACATCAACAATCTGTCAAGTATCCGTCAAGGGAAGAAAACATTTCTGAAAGTTTTATTTTTTAAGGTAGGCATAGTAACGTAAATCGTGCAAATAATAGCCTGTTGCACATTGACCTGCAAAAAAAAAAAAAAAAAAACTTGGAAAATTTGTAGTATAGGCTAATGGCGGGACTTAGTTTTTAATTAAATGATTGTATATGATTTTTCCCAATTTTGCTAGCTCCGAAGACAAATAAGTGAATTTAACATACCTTTTTATTTTAAAGTATTTGCTTTGCACTCATCGCTTTAAAATTCATAATGAGATTAAACACATAATGTAAATATAAGCAATGTTACATTTATATGCTGAATACCATCTGTAAAATTCACCACAGCTAATAATTATTTGAGTTATCTAAACAGCTATTTTTAAAAGGGGGTAAAATTGTACTTTCTGTGCCTAAATACATTAGTCATTGAAGCAAGATTTCAGTTTCCACTTGAGGGCGGCAGCCGAAAGATTCTTCTTATTGATAAATCACTTATAGCAACCATAGGCCTATATTCCGCAGAATTTCATTTTTAAATACCCTTATTTTTAACGTCACATAACGTAGCAATTTACACATTTATACTCCAAATTAAATGCAACCAATGTCGTGAAAATGGTAACTTCAATAGTTACATTAGGTTACATTATTACAGATCAGCTCAGAATACTGCCAATATTATATAAACAGTAAATGATTTTTGGTACTTTAATCTACGACAATCTAATACTTGTAATTTCTTTTTCCTTTGTACACACGCTAACACAGGCATTCCTATGCAACTTTATTTTGCCTTTTTTGACAGCTGCGGTTTACTCTATTGCTACAGACACCGCTACGGGCCTGGGTATAATTCGAACTACTGCTACTTCTACTAAGTAATTTAGACGAATTGAACAATTCAAAATCAAGGAGCGTTTATTCAGCAATTTAATAGAACGACAAAATGTAACATTTTATAATTTTAAATAAGTAGGCTACATTCTGCGTTCTGCTGATACCAATTAGGCTATCTATCATTGATCAATTTTTCAATTTAAGACTAGTAACTATTTGTCTGATTAGATATTTAGTACAATTCCATTAACAAACAAGAATTGTTACTGTTGTTATAAAAATGTAAGTTGGTTTTCGCTTATCTATTTATTTCGCTATTCGTTTGTATGGTTATTGGCGGTCTTGTTACATGGATTTTAAATAAAGGTTTAACATTGTAATATAGGCCATTTAAACTATTAGCCTAAGTATGGTTCCTAATCCTCAAACTTCCATTCCTTCTTTTGCGCAAAATCGCCTCAACGCTCTCTGACTTTATCTCTCTCTCTCTCTCTCTCTCTCTCTCTCTCTCTCTCTCTCTCACTCACTCTTTCGCTCACTCTCTCTTTCTTGCATCTCTTGCGTCTGGGAGGGGGAGCCCTGCCTCTTTGCCTACCCCAGATCAATGCCCTGGCCACTCACTTTCTGATGTTGCACGACGGGAAATGCTTTGAATACTTGCGACATGGCCGCTCACATTGATTGCCAAGATTGACAGCACTAGCCTTCGCCTTCACTTGAGCAAGAGAAGGAAATAAATAAGTCAGATATCAACAAAAGCTCATCGCAGCCTTGACAGCTAAACTTGTGTAAAAGAACGGAATTCCATCTTTATGGCCCATGGAACCAGTAACAACATTTAGCCTTTATCTCAATATAAAGCAGTGATCATCCTTTTAGATTAAGCACATCAAAGCGGAATTGCCAACGGACCTGAGGTTGTTTTTTCCAGACTTCTGCATCAAGGTAACGGTGTGTGTTTTTATTCTTTCCGTTCGTTTGTTTTTTGTTTGTTTGCTCCGTAATGTTCCTTGCAGTACTTGCGGTCAGTGTGTCACGTTTTGTTGCATTCGCGTATTGCAATGTCACGGTACTACTTGGTTATTTAATTAGTTTTACTAATCATAGATACAGTCGGCTGCGTGTATTATTTTCCCCCAGGATTTTTTGTGAGCCTTTGTTTTAAATGCTGGGCACAGTTTGGCTTACATGCGAATTTATAATCGCTAACTTCTGACTCTGCATTTCGTTCACTGGTAGTGTTATGTAAGAAGTGTATTCTGAAGTTTAGTCCATGTGCTCGCTTCGTGTCTTTAAAGTAAATAGAAGCATGTGTTTCGAGATACTTCCTATCGTCTTTTTTAAGTAAACCTACTCCTGTTATGTTAAGCAGCGGTTATACTGATAATCTGTGTTATGTTCTCATCGTTCAATATGCTTCATTCATGTCGGACTTCTATGTAATTTTTAAACTACTTTCTAACGCCGTTTTCGGGGAGTCCCGGGGTAAAGCGTGACGTCCCTTTCTGTACGGAGCAATTTCACTTCTGTCCACAAAGCGGTACTATTCGTTGATAATGTCTTGGGTAACACTGGATATCCAACTCCAAGTGTAACTCTACGAACGTTATGAAAGTTAATTTAGAGTTCTGGATTTGTTGTTGTTTATGCTCTACTGTTTTATTTGTAATTTAAGGGTTTATTGATTCCTTAAATAGGCCTATTATCTTCAATAAAGTTTGCATGTCACTGAACTTTCACTGGGGGTCAGGTAAATTGACCTTGCACGAAAGCATAAGCAATTAATGAAAACAAACTCCGCATCGCAAGTGTACTATACGCTAAAAGACAATGCGGAACGTGGACAAATCGGGCTTCCTTCGCGGGATCGGCCGCTAGGAAATACGGGCTGGACACAGTAAGTCTGCCGTAATGTCACAAAATTTCCATATCTCGCGGTGTTTTCAAAATATCAATATTTATAAATGTTAGTGAGAAATAATCAAGACACGATGCAAGCAAAACATAAAGTTTTTTGTTGTGTGATATAAATTATAAAAATACAAATAGTTCTTATGTAGTTTTTCAAAACTAGATTAAGATTAGAATAATGCCGGTAGCGCCAGGATCAATATATTTAATTAAAATTAGACTTTAAAAACTCTTTGGGGACTTTATAAATGACCAATATCCCAAATGTTACAGCAAAAACCAATCGCGAGATGCTTTCAATTTACACGTGTATTTGAATTTGTTGCGGTGAAATCGTGGATTACCAAGAGGAGACGCTGAAGCAGTGGAAAAACTCAAAATGGCATTTAAGTCTAAAAAGAGGACAAAAAGCACGAGTAAAATAAGTCTGTGGAGCCTGGCTAAAGTAGATAGCGCATCATTTAAGGGCGTTACCCGAAATTAGGCGCTTTCGCTATTACAGATAAACTTTATGCAAAACTGCTGTACATGTAGTGATAACATTTAACAAGGGATATTTTATGAACTACAAAATAAGAAATAAATAAGTGGAAATTCACTTCACATTGCAAGCACACGAGGCTTATGTTAGTCTCTTGTATGTATTTATTACTGTATATCATTAGATTGCATTTATGGATACTATTTGTATGATTATGGTTACATAGTCGTTGAAACAAACCCCCTGTGCACAGGTGGATTTTGACGCTTTAATTGTATGTATCTCAACAGTTGTACCATTCGCCAAAGTTATATTCGTCTTAATAATAATAGACCAACGTCTTATAAAGCGCGGGGAAGTGTTTGAAAACTCATCTGCAAGAGTGAGCTGGATTCTCTAATGGCATTTTGAACAGTTGCTGTTAGCTGTGAGAGAAAGTTCCCCCATAAGGTAAGGTGGCACTGGAACCCAAAGTAAATCCGAATTACATATTTATAATTAGACTGCCCATTCAGCATATTGTCCTGGCGACTGTACGGGGATAGGCTGCACTGTCTGGGATTTCTGCCTTATTCACACAGCTTGAACACGAGTGCAGTGAACGTAAAACAATTCGTTTTATAGTATTGTGCTTAACTTTTTAAATTAATACAAAAATAGAACAGATTAATGGTAATATTATCATTTGTTTTTTGAGATGAAATTGTATCTCCAAGTGGGAAATGATTTCGGCGCATTTAAGCACACAGCTCAATACACTGGCAGTGCTAGGAATAAGCAGGTCGGAATATTTTAATAATTATATTGTATAATTTTTTTTCCAGCGAATATGTCATCGGTCGTTGCTTTGCTTAATTTTCCTTTGTTCTTTAATTTAATTTTCATTTAAAGTGTTTTAACTGCACGTTCCATACATGTAAATCATAAATCTGTATACTGTTACGGTATGTGTATACTTTGCTTATATTCTAAATATCCAGACTGATAATCATTGTCCGCATTACCTATATACACGTGGATCGGCGAAAAGACTTGTGGTTTTGCGCGACTAGCACATTTCCTAACCTGACCGCGGTATAAAAGATACCGCCTTGCCCTGACTCGCCTGTTGCCAATAGACTAAGTTAAACAGATCTGGGGCTATGCAGTAGAATATTGAAACCGCGTGGTTTCAAAGTTGCAGTTATGCTTCTAAACTAACTTGTTAAAATGTAATCGGTGCCCTAACCCTAACACCAGTAGCTCGTATATTTTAATACTGCGAAACAGTCCGAAAGCATGAAGATAAGATCTCATAGCAACGAACTGAAAAAAAAGTTATTATGCAAGCAACTATACTGTGAACCCGCACTTGTGTTAAGCATAGGCATAGGTCAATGTCATTAAGTTCATGATTAGGTTACACTGAATCTATTTAATCAACACTGATTGTCAAATTCTGATGAAAATTTAAGCTCGTTCAACTCATTTTCTATCTTTACATTTTTCTGACGGATGAGGCACATGATGAAATTTAAAGTTAATACTTTTATTATTAGTAGTATTATTATTGCTGTTATTATTATTATTATTAACATTAATAATAATAATAATAACAATATTTATTGATGTTGCTATAGTTGTTTTTAAGCAAACTTCTTCCTGTTTTATTTCAGAGTACAGGCGTTACTTTTTCCAAGTTGTTTAAAGACCTTTTCCTAGTAGTATGAACTAAGATTTTTATTGAGTTTAACAGGTGTATACTGCTGATTCGACCGCGCATATTTCTTAAGTAAAAATATTTGAGATGCATGACTTGGCTTAAGTTGTAAAATACTTAAACGATTCTGCTGAAGGCTAAACGTGTGATATTTCGAATGCATTTATTGCTGACATTGAGACGAGCACCACACACGATCTGCACAGTAACTGGCCCAGGGTGTAATCTTAGAACGGATGCATATGTCAATGTACAGGTAAAATTTTCTTTGATTAAACTGTGACATTTTTGGAGGTACAGAAACAATCTCTGCATTCAGATTCAGCTGTGATTTAAATCGTGTGATAATTTATTGTCACGTCTTCAAGTAATAAACAGTATTACCCCTTTATTCCATCTGGGTTTAGACTTCTAGCTTATACTACAGCAGATGTGGGGGGAAAAAACGTGGTCGAACGAAGAAACGACTGCGGCAGAGGTGTAATTCGTACACACCTCGCCATATTTGGGGGCTGCGGCCCAAACAGGCAGGCCGCTAATGATAAACAAGATGAGAGGAGATAAACAACAGCGGCTCTGGTAGAAGAGAGATGGAGCAGCAGAAGCGAGGGAGGACAGGTGGGTGAATAAACGTGGGAGCACATGTCGGGACATCTGTCCTGATTACTGTCGGCTAATTTGCAGCGGAATGTTTCAGCCGCGATCAAAACCGATGGCAACGTGTTCATTAAGCAGTACTTCCTGCGTGGGGAACCGATTTTTTTTTCTTTCTTTTCAAATATATGCCTAATAAATTTTAGTTTTCAGAGACCTGTCACAGTACTTCTTTACGGCATAGCGATTTCATAACAGGCACTAGGCTCCGTTTATTTTAATTGCCTGGTGCCGTGATGGTGTTACTGGTCATCCCAGGCGAGCAGCCGCCGTGTCCGATCTGGAAAACGTGTCGGAATGCTGCTCGGCTTTTCAGCTCCCGATCTGCCCTCTGACCCCTACTTCCCAAAACAAATGTAGGAGCAGTTGATTATACCTTAATTGTATAACCGTGTTTTTACGGTGCCATCCCCGAGAATCAGTCAGATGTTTGATTTCATTGATCTGCAGTGTATGAACGTCACTGATGATTAGATTGAATCTTTTTTTTTCTTGCACAACGGACGAGGAACCATACTCCTGTAATAGCTTGTGGCTTTTTACCTTGGTGAAATTGTGACTGATTGTGTCTTTTGGATGGTATTTGCTGTGGCATCTTTATAACCTTGGAGCCATATTTCCTCATTTTTGGTCATGATTTAGAGAGCCTCGGATCTCAATGTGATCATTATATGTAACAGTATTCAGAAGGCATAATAATGTGTAGACATTTTATCAGATTTACACATAGACCCAAAACACTGAATATTACATTTCCCGAGATTTCAGTGTGGTATACTTATGTGTGTTAAGAGAAATGTTGGGAAATATTTATATAGCCTTTGTAATATTGCAATTATGAATGAACATATCTGTTCAATCCTTGACAGTTCATTTGCCGTTTTTTTCCCTTCATCAACAATTTTGGCATTATTATTGCACATGTATTTTAATAACACGGTGATAACCAGTAAATGTAAAGCTAATCTGTAGTGTCTGTTCGTATTTCACTATGATCTGTAATGTATCTCATTAGTAGACTGCAGTCAGCAGAGCGAGGGGTACCTATTAGCATTGCTCCTTGTTTCTTATGAATCGGATGAAGATTTTCATAGGCGCATATGAAGACGATGAGAAATATTACCATATCAAAGCGGCTCCGCGTGCAGCCTGTCGGTAATTAAAATGCGGCGGTTTGGAGGGCTGCGGCGGAGGCTTGCC